AGCTGTCATTGTTGTTTGGCAGGCCAGGGCTGGATTCCAACCCACCAGCTCAGGTGTATGTGGCTAGCACCTTAGGCGCTTGAGCCACAGGTGCTGAGCCTACTGCTCATTTTTTAAATAGCTTTTCTTTCTTTTCTTCTTTTAGATGGGGTCTTTTTCTGTTGCCCTGGCTAGAGTGAAGCGGTGTTATCATAGCTCACTATAACCTTATATTCCTGGGCTCAAGTGATCCTCCTGCCTCAGACTCTCAAGTAGTTGGGTGCTTACTACCTCACAGCTAATATTTAAAAAAAAATTTGTGGAGGCCAGCACATTCGCTCATGCCTGTCATCCTATCATTCTGGGAAGCTGAGGTAGGTAGATTGCCTGAGCTCAGGAGTTCAAGACCCACCTAAGCAAGAGGGAAACCCCATCTCTATTAAAAAATAGAAAAATTCGCCAGGTGCAGTGGCTCACATCTGTAATCCTAGCACTCTGGGAGGCCAAGGTAGGCAGATTGCTTGAGCTCAGAAGTTTGAGACCAGCTTGAGCAAAAGTAGGACCCCATCTCTAAAAAAAAATAGTTGAGTGTTGTGGTCCCAGCTACTTGGGAGGCTGAGGCAAGAGGATTGCTTGAGCTGAGGAATTTGAGGTTGCTATGAGCTATGGCACCATGGCACTCTACCAAGGGCAACAAAGTGAGACTCTGTCTCAGAAAAAAACAATACTGGCTAGGCATTGTGGTAGGTGGCTATAGTCCTAGCTTCTCAAGAGGCTGAGACAAGACGATTGCTTGAATCCAAGAGTTTGAGGTTGCTATGAGCTATGATGATGCCATGGCACTCTAGCCAGGGCAACAAAATGAGACTGTCTCAAAAAAAAAAAAAATAAATAAATAAATAAAAAATAAAAATTTTTTTTTGGGGGTGGAGAACGAATTATCTTCCTGTTTGGCTTCCCAAAGTGCTGGCATTATAGGTGTGAGCCACTATGTCCAACCAGCTTTTTTTGTTTTATAAATATAATATTTTTATTTCTTTGGTATTAGGCCTTTCTTTCAACTGTTCTTTAGTTTTAATCCAGTATTTCTTCTAAGTTAACTGTTTTGATTTGAAGTTTCATATTGAATACTGTTTTTCAAATGTTGGTTCTTTTACAGGCTAACATTTAAAAGTGAGGCAATAAAAAGCTATTGAAAGACTCTGGGTATGTGTACAGGACCTGATAGCCTTCACTTACAGATGATTATAGAGTGATGTGTCAGCCATTTTGTCAGGGGGACCTTTAGATAGCAATATGTAGAGGTCTTTTTCTCTGGAGTAGTTCAGTTTTCCCAGAGAAATGTTCCATTCTCTTGCCTGGGACCTACTAGCCAGGCTCTGGCGATTTGAAGACTTTTTCTTAGTCATTTCTCTTTCTTGCCTTTGTTTCCCTTCCTCACTTATTCTTGGGTTTCTCCTGTGTCTTCTCACCTGTCTCCTGAACAGTCCTTAGCAAAAAAGTAATATGCATTAATTCATAAAAGAACAATGCAAATAAATTTTAGTCAAAATAATTTAAAGGGCATTAATAGTAAATGATTTTGTCTTAGTTTTTATTTTGAAATAATTTCAAACTTATGGAAAACTTTCAAGATCAAGCTCAGGAATTGTCTTGTTCCCTTTATACACACTCACCAGTTCTGAGTTAACTTTTCTTTTTCATAACATTGGCATTTTTGATGGGTATAGTCATTTTGTAGACTGTCCCTCAGTTAATAGAATAATGTTTAATTTTGTGCTGTAATTCTTTGTTTTTCCTTGTAGCTATTAGAAGAATATGAGTCCCTTGGAAAAGAACATGGACGAGTAAAGGTAACGGGTGATTGTTTGTGTTCTAGATTTTACATGGGGGCAAACGCATTGGAGTAGGGATCAAGAGATCTTACCCTTCTTCCTCTGCCTCCTTTCTCCCTTTCTCCTCTTTCTCCACCCCTTGTAGCCATTTTCTGGTTTCTTTTTTTTTTGAGACAGAGTCTCATTATGTCGCTCTCAGTAGAGTGCCTTGGCGTCACAGCTCCCAGCAACCTCAAACTCTTAGGTTCAAGCACTTCTCTTGTCTCAGCCTCCCTTGTAGCTGGGATTACATGCCCCTGCCACAACACCAGTTATTTTGTTGTTGTTGTTTGTTTAGCAGGTTTTGAACCCACCAGTCCCGGTGCATGGTGGCTGGCCGGTGCACTAACCACTGATCTACAGGAGCGTAGCCCTTTCTGTTTTTTTATTTTATGAGACTGAGTCTCACTCTGTTGCCCTGGATGAAGTGCCTTGGCATCATAGCTCACAGCAACCTTAAACTCCTGGGCTCAAGCGATCCTCTTGTCTCAGCCTCCCGAGTAGCTGGGATTATAGACACTCACTACCATGCCTGGCTAGTTTTTCTATTTTTAGTAGAGATGGGATCTTGCTCTTGCTCAGGTTGGTCTTGAAATCCTGAGCTCAAGGGGATCCTCCTGCCTTGGCCTACCAGAGAGCTGGGACTACAAGTGTGAGTCACCACTCTGGGCCATTAGCTATCACCCTGGGTAGAGTGCCATGGCTTCACTGCTCACAGCAACTTCCAACTCCTGGGCTCAAGCAAGTGTTCTGCCTCCGCCTCCCAAGTAGCTGGGACCACAGATGCCCGCCACAATGCCCGGCTATTTTTTTTTGGTTGCAGCCATTATTGTTGTTTGGCGGGTCCAGGTTGGATTCTAACCCGCCACCTTAGGTGTATGTGGCTGGCGTCTTAGCCACTTGAGCCACAGGCGCTGAGCCAGTATGCTTATTTTCAAGTATCTGCCTTATGTATCTCACACATTTTATTAGATTCATTAATCAAATTTTATTGAATGATTATTCCATTTGAGAGGCAATTGTTTAGAAGAGTATAGGGTACCATATAGATGCAAATAATTGTTTAAATATAGTTTTAAATATCAAAGCAGTAGCTTTTTTTTTGTTTGTTTAAATAAACCGCTTTATTAGAAGTAGGTGTTGATGTTCCAAGTCAAATCCTTCCTATTGGAGCATTTGCCCCTTTAAGTTTTGGGCAGCTTTTTGGAGTGGGCTACTTTTTCTTTTCTTTTTTTTGCTGAGGCTGGGTTTGACCCGGCCAACTCCAGTATATGGGGCCGGTGGCCTACTCCTTGAGCCACAGGCGCTGCCCCAAAAGCAGTAGCTTTTTGTGGGATTGTTTATTGATTATGTTTGAATTCTTTGGGAAATGCATATTTAAGTTTCCTGAAGCACTACAATAATGCTATAAGCAGGGTTCAAGTATTTCTAGTGCATGAAGTGCAGGGCTGTGGTTATTTAATGTTAGTGAGAGGTCTGCATAGCTAGGCACCTGAAAGTTCTGAGGGTTCAGGAGCATATTACATCATTGAAAGTATGTCAGAACCTCTGTAAGGTGACCACCCAAGGAACTATAACAAACTGGTCAACACATGCAGGTAGTCAATATAAGGAGATAGGCCTACTGTACTGACATGTACATATGGCACATATCTGGTCTATGAAAATTAGGTTTACTGTATTTATTATTCTACTGAGTTTTTAGGCAAGTTTGTGATTAAAATATATTCATCTTAACACAGGATTGTTTCTAATTAAGCAAAGCATAATGGGCTACACCTACTGCACAGGAGACTTACACAGAGCTATATGTATAGTCCGGAGTTTTGCTTTTGTTTTCCTTGAAATTATCTGTACTGGCTCTCCAGCTGATGCCATACTGGTTGAGTAATTTGTAGCTTGGTGGTTTAGGCATAGATGAGTTTTATTTTATGCATTTTAAAATAAAAGTATTCATCTTAATGTTTGTCTTCCATTACGTAAAATTTTCCCTTGTTTTTATAGGATACATTAAATACAACAGAGAATAAATTGCTTGATGCACATACTCAGATTTCTGATTTGAAAAGGTAAAATCTTACTAATGGTCAAATACCTTTAATTGTACTTTTATGTGTATTGAAAATGATGGAAAAAAAGTTTTTCTTGAGGATTTTTAAGCAGTTTGAGAATTAGTTTTATCCTAATCTTTCCCTGGTGGAGAAGTATATTTGATTTTAACCAAACAAGATTCCTTTTAGTTTGTTTGTTTGTATTTTAAAGAGATAGGGTCTCACTATGTCATCCAAGCTAGCCATTAATTCCTGGCTTCAAGAAATCCTCTAGGGCAGTGCCTGTGGCTCAAAGGAGTAGGGCTCTGGCCCCATATACCAGAGGTAGTGAGTTCAAACCCAGCCCCGACCAAAAATTACCCCCCCCCAAAAAAAGAGAGAGATCCTCTAGCCTCAGCCTCCGCCTCCTGAGTATCTGGGACTACTAGAATACTACTGCATGTGCCTTTTAACAGGATCTTTAAGTGACTAGAATGTCTAGATAGTTGTGTGTCAGACATGTGCATTTCCCCAGACATGTATTTTCTCAATATAGATAAAATCTAAATGATATTTCACCATTGGAAAGAACTTTAAGAAATAGTCTAGTTCACTGAATTATTTTTGAGTTCCAGAAAGAAAATACTATGCCAGACCAGGCATGGTGGATCAGGCCTGTCATCCTAGCACTCTGTAAAGCTAAGGCAAGTGGATCCTTTGAGGTCAGGAGTTCGAGACCAGCCTGAGCAAGAGTGAGACCCCATCTCTACTAAGTATAGAAAAACTAGCCATGAGTCATGGCGGACACCTATAGTCACAGCTACTCAGGGAGACTGAGGCCAGGAGGACTGCTTGAGTTGAGGAGTTTGAGGTTGCTTCGAGCTGTGACACCACAGCACCCTACCTAGAGGGACAGAATGAGACTCTGTCTCAAAAAAAAAACAACAACAAAACAAAAACCAAGAAAACATAACACAAAATATAAGAGTAGAAGGAAGGAATGCTAGGATATCTGCAAAAGAGCTATTTGGCTAGAGTAGTTATTATCTGTTGGTAAACTTGAAAATAGGCTTTCATTCTGAACATGACAATCTATAGGTTGAGAATAGTTGGTGATATTTTAGCCTCTGCCTCTTTTAAAAATTAGGAAGTTTCTTATAATAGCTGTTTTTGAAAGTTCAGCTGCTTTCTCTTTTGAAAATGCTACTTATTAGACTTTGTATTCCTGAATGTATACATATTAGAATTAAACATGATAGAATGTAGGCTGGGCCTAGTGGCTCACACCTGTAATCCTAGCACTCTGGGAGACCGAGGTAGGTGGACTGAACTCTCAGGTTTGAGACCAGCCTGAGCCAGAGCGAGACCCCATCTCTAAAGATAGCCAGGCGTTGTGGTGGGTGCCTATAGTCCCAGCTACTAGGGAGGCTGAGGCAAGAGAATTGCTTGAGCCCAAAACTTTGAAGTTGCTGTCAGCTATGGCACTACAGTGCTCAACTGAGGGTGACAAAGTGAGACTCTTTCTCAAAAAAAAAAAAAAAAAAGATAGACTGTGATTTGGTACTTGAATTTTATTTTAACTTAAGTATATGTTTATTTGTATTTAAATTTATTTAAAATGTTTTTACATAAGTCTATTTGTTCACTTTTCCTTCAGTTTCAGTATATAAAACACTCTATTCCTTTGTAGATTTTAATGTTTTGTTTTTTTTTTTTCTTTTTTGCAGTTTTGGTTTGGGCCAGGCTTGAACCCGCCATACCTGGTATATGGGGCTGGCGCCCTATTCCTTAAGCCACAGCTGCCCCCCTGCTTTTCTGTTTTTCCAGATTTTGTTCAGCTTTTTAAAGTTTTTTTTTTTTTTT